TGCCACAGCCGTGCCGGCACTGGCCATCGAGCGCTCTCGGCTGGCTCTTTGCGATCCTGTCCCTGGATTTATTTGCTCTTGTGCCCCTCTTCTTTGTGGAAAAACCTGAGCTGCGCAGCACTGCTCCAGTTCTGTGATGTGCAAATATGCTCAGAGCCTGGGCTCTTCCTGGTGCTTTCCAGCTCGTGGGACACACGCTGACGAGCACAGACACAGTGCCTGGGCTGTCAGGCGCTTGAGTTAATCAGACTGTGCTGGCACTGGGAAGCAAACTTGTTCTTCTGTCCCTCACAGAGGGTGAGAGTCCCTGTGGATAGTGGTGTCTGCCACAGCGTGGTGTTGTCTGGGTCAGACAAACGTGCAGTCGTACAGCCGCCGCTGAACATACACAACATACAGTCACGGCGCAGTGGAGCTGCGGGGCGGGAACGGCTCTCATGGGCAGGAGCTGGCGCTCAGAGGCCGGGGTGAGGGAAGGGAGGATGGGGGAGCGTGAGCTCTGGTTGCAGTGATGTCTGTGGGGAGCCGGGGGCTGCTCCTCAGTGACTTTTTGTTTTGCAGGGGTGAAAAACTCCCTGGTGGCCCATGACATGGCGTTTGAGATGGCGCGGGCTCCCTGGAGCCTGGAGCAGCAGATAGAGCGGCCACGACTCACCAAGAAAGTCCTGGACACAGAGGACCAGGCTGCCTTCCGGCTCCAGTCGAAGATGCCCAGATACATCTACTTTGCGGCCAACAGCAAAAACAAGTGGGGCCACCAGCGTGGTTACAGGATCCAGATCACCAGCTTTGCGGGGGACCATGTCCCTGAAGCCAGCTCCATGGAGAGGGCCATCAGCTGGGCAAGGTCAGGCTGCTCTGACTGGGACGGCAGGTTCTCAGAGACACCCCTAGGCCTGCTGGCTGGGAGGCATCGCATGGGTGTGCCTTGGTAGGGAGGCACAAGGAAAAGGCTCTCCTGGCCTGGGGTTGCTCCGTGGGAGCAGGCTTGTGCTCTGCAGACTCTGGGGAGCTGGCTTCTAGCTCTGCCCTGCCCCAGGGGGCTGCTCCTGTCTCATCTCTTCTCCTCAGGTACCAGCTGGCCGTCACCAGGCGGAAGGAGGAGGAGCCCACCAGCACCAGCATCTACAACCAGAACGACCCCTGGACGCCCACTGTCGCCTTTGCCGACTTCATCAACAACGAGACCATCACCAACGAGGTGGGCCAGGCTCCCCTGGGCTGGAGCTGTAATACCCAGCCCCAGTCTGAGCGGGGGCCCCAGAGCTGCCCCAGGGGCTGAGCGACCCCGGCATCACCCGCAGGACAGCGGGCTCAGCTGGGAGAGCAGCAGCTCCAGGGAATGAGGAGAGCGGGTCTGAGCATCCCCTTTTCTGTGTGTCTGTGTGATGCTTTGGTCAGAGCACGCAGCTCGGAGTGCAGAGCAGGAGCCTGTTTCTCCCTATGGAGAAATGCTGGCAAAACGTCAGGAAAATCTCTGCGACGCCAGAGCTTGGCTGCGGGGGTCAGGGCAAGGGCCCTTCTGCTGGGCAGACCTCTGCAGCCATGGCTGCGGGCAGGTCTTTGGGGAAGGGAGGGGATCTTTCCCAGGAGGTGGGAGCTCGGTGCGTGGGAACGTGGCCGCGCTGGTGCCGGTGGAGGTCCCCTCCTGCTCTCCTGTAACTTTCCATGGCCCCCGCGCAGGTTTCGGTCGCTGCCGCTGCAGGCTTCTGAAATAACTGCAGTCTTGTGGCTCTCCCCTGCCTAGGACCTGGTCGCCTGGATAACCACTGGTTTCCTTCACATCCCACACTCTGAGGATATTCCCAACACTGTGACGGTGGGAAACTCGGTCGGCTTTCTCCTGAGACCCTACAACTACTATGATCTGGACCCCTCTATATACTCACATGACGGTGTGTTTTTCACCAGTGAGCAGGACTTCATGGCGTGTGACATCAACCCCATTGCATGCCTGCCCAAAACTGCCTCTTGTTTGCCAAACTTCCCCTTGTTCACCTATGACGGTTTCCAAAATATGAGCCGGCTTTAATGCTACGGAACAGTGTTAGCGGACAGTCAGAGACGCTATGTTGACTGTTCTGTCTCAGATTTTCAGTTTTTCAGTGAAGTTGTCTCAATTTCCAGTTGTGCAATGACTTCACTTTTCATCATTGCTTTTAAAATAGTGCTTTTTAAAAGGGAAGCGTAATCTTCCTGGCATGATGCCAGAAGGGAGTCTACATTATCTCTGTTAGTTGCTGAATTTGAGTCTGTTGCAGGAGGCAAGTGAGGAGAAAATCCTGTTCCTCTGCTGTAGAAGCAAGCGCTGTGTAGTGCCTATCTCAGGTTAAAAAAATTAAGATGGATCTAGTCCAGTGCTCTCCTGGGTGTCTTGTTCTTACGACTCACAGCAGCGTCTGCTTGGGGGACGATGCTGCGTCTCCGCCGTGTTTCCTGCATCCACAAACCAGCCCAGCAGCCAGGCTCTGGTGCCTGTCCGGGCATGGGGACGCTCCAGCCAGAGGGCAGGAGGGACGGGCTGGGGAGCCCTGGGGCTCTGCGGGGAGGACCAAGGCTGGCACTGGCACCGAGCTCTGCGGGTGCTTGGGGTGAGGCTGGGGACAGGGCGAGGACCTGCTGGGCTGCAGTTCTGGGGCACTCGCCGCTGGGTGCAGGCGAGGGGAGCGGAGGGCCCTGTGGCAGGGATGGGTCTCGCTGTCCCTGCGCCAGCACCGTCCCCACGGGTGCCTCTGCGTGAACCAGCCCAACCTCAGCCCCACAGGCAGCGCGTGGGCCATCGCAGCCCGACGCTGGCTGGGTTCACCCAAGAGCCCCCCAGGCTCGACC